TTCACTTGTAATCTGATCATACCGCTGGACTTCGAGGACAAGCTTGTCAACTTCCAACGTTATGTGATGAAGCTGCGTCGCGATTCTCGCTATGGACTCGGGCAGATCGGCGATGCCGATGAGACCCCTGTGTACATCGACATGCCAAGGACATGCACCGTGAACGAAGTAGGCGCCTGAGAAGTAAACGTGCGTATGACTGGCTATGAGAAGTAAAGGGTGACCGTAATGCTGTGCATCACAGGCGACGGTTGGAAACTTGCGCCCTACATCATTTTCAAAAGACTAGTCGCAAGAGCGACTAGTCGATCGTGGTGCAAACTGATGGCAAGCGGGCTACTCTCCAGTCTTTATTTATTTCCTTTAGAACATTTAATCTTTCATTTTGATTATAGTAAATTCAAATTTCTTGTGCAAGTTTTGTATTTTCGGGGCATGTTCTGAATCTAAGCACCCCCCCCCCCCCCCCTCTCTTTGAACATCGCGGGTGTGAAAAAAAGGGGGCGCTTAGAATCGAGTAAATACGGTATTTCCTATTAAATGTATTCAAATATTTACAAAATGAATGTAAGAAGTAATTGATTACAAGTAATTTGATTATTTCTGGTGAGTATCGTTCAAGTCTGCTACTGAAGCTAAAACGGAACACACTGCTCTTACTCCAAACTAATGATACACTTTATAATGAATTTACCCAAGCGTGCGGACTTTAGAATTTGGGCGTCGGTAACCTTGCTTTTTAAACACGTTCACGCGACACCAAATTCGGGTGAAAGTGGGTAGATAAAAAAATAAAACATTAATCCGGAGTACAATTAGTACTAAGATACATGCATTTTAAGGCCAAAATACAGATGCTGAAATACACTTGCTTGTGATCTAACGGTCCGGGATATCCTTGCAATACTTCTGCAGAAGCAGCAAAAAAAAAAAAAAAAGTATGCCGGAGTCAGACATGCACAGTTTACTCAAAAAAAGTAATTAAGCTTAGTTACTGAGTAGTGACGTCAAAAGTAATTTGAGTACAGTAGAAATTACTCAAATAGAAAGTAATTGAGAAAATGACTAATTACCGCAAAAAGTAGCGAATTACTTTTGAAGTTACTTTTATATGTTTTTTATGGTAAGAAGTAAGTACAGAGGTTTGGATTCGTTAGCGAAATTGTGCTAGCCAAATTTGAATCGGCTTGTTTTTTTTTGTTTTTTTTTTGACAGAAATGCTTTAATAGCCGGTTCTGCTTCTGCGTGTCTAATTGTTTTGTACTTTCTTGTTTGTTTGGTCAATGATCGTACTGTGAATGTGTCATTTCTACTTTGAGGTTTAGCACTGTCTGAGCTTGATTTTAGACAGTGTTTGCTTGCTTACAGTGTTGCGTAAAGTACATCTAAAAAGTACTTGATGTAAATTTCAAAGAAAATGAGAGGTTATGTACTTCAAGTAAAGTAGTAAGCGCACCGGGTGCAATGTACTTGAAGTCACGTATATAAATACAATATAATTTAAGGAAAATTACAAGCACTTTTAACACAATATTTCATGATGTCTTTTCATTCCCTGTACAGTATTGTTTTAACTGGTATGCTTTGCTCGAAGTTTAGTCAGAGGTGCATCAGTTTTTTACGGAAATGTTAGCAAATATTGTATAAAGCCAAGTCGCCGCAGTGTAGTTGTTTTACTCTCACTGACGAGCTGTTTGACACAATCAACTTATAAGGCACTTCTTTCCATCGGTCTTACAGTCGCTATTACTTCACTCAGAGAAATGACCAGATGACGTCTCGAAAGAGCGCGTCTTCACGCGACGATATTGCCATTTTTTTGTTTTCGAATTCGGGGAATGTACATTGTAGTCGGGAGTCTTCCTTTCCTTGGAAAATGCAAGTACTTGTTCAGAGAATTTACTTCAACTAAAGAAAAATTTTTCTAAACAGTAGTACTTTAAGTACCATGTACATAGAGTACTTCCCAACACTGCTTGTGTCACAGAAACCGGCTGTTCCAGAAACCGACGGGGGTCGTGATGACGTCTGCGGAAGAATAATGACCAGGGAAGTAAACGACCGCCTTCGGCGGATGAGCTCGCAGCCAGGCGCGTGTCAGGTTACGCAGGGAGCGCTTCGTTGAAGCGACCGCATGTTCGGTGTTTCTTGGTATACACAACCTAGAGTGATTATGGGGGGTACACAGGACTCTGCAGCCCCAGATTTACGAGGCGAGCTGGCGGCTCGCTGTTTGAATGTGTTTTTCGTCAGCGCTCGAATTGCCTGGTGGGTCTTAGTGTTTAGAAGAACCCTGCTTTAGGGTCAGGGGTCAGACCGAGGGGGCAACAACCTACCGTGGGAACAAAGAGAGTGCGGGAACCGCGGGGTCGCCAGGACTGACAGTGCGAGAGAGAACTCTAAGGCAGACGGACGCATCGCGACGTTGAGGGATGCGGCGAGACCCTGTCGACGGCCCCACGCCAGGCACCGGACGAAGCTTCCAGTGAGTGTGCGACCGCAAAAAGTGGGCGTGCGGGGCCAGTGAGCCGCGCCCACGGTGTGCCAAGCCACCCGCCGGAATTTCTCCACCTCGGACGGACCGCGCAGAGAGACGCCAGCACCTCTACGCCAGATGAGACTTTTTCTTTGCACTCACTTATCCTCCTATTTTAGTTTACCATTTGGACTCTCTTAAACTTAGTATTTTTCTAGTGCTGTCTAGGCAACCCCAAGCATGAAATTGTAACTGTTATACCGTGCGTACCTGTGCTTCTGCCGTTTGATGTCTACGTGATTTTTGCATGTTATATAGCGCCTAATTATCTACCCTATCCCTGTCAAATTAAACGTCATCTACATATCTGACACACGCCTCCGTCTCTCTTCATTGGTAAGACTCTCCACCAGAGCGTGGCACTATCGCTCGGTCAGCGGTCCCCTTCTTTCACATCGTTACTCGGGAGGCCTACCGCCTTCCTGTGACATAAATTGGCGTCCGCGACAGGACTTGCTGACCACGGTGGAGAGGCTTCCATGACGAGAGAGAGAGAGCCGAGCATAGAGGCAGCTTCCTTAGAACGGATAGTGATTTCTGGATTGTTGAAGGGAGCCTTGTCGCGTAACGGATTGCCTGGTGCGACATAAACATGGAGATAGGCGACCTTATTTCGTACGGAAAGCAGCTCGGGCTCAAAGGTTCAGCCCTCAAGGAATGGGTAGACTCCGAGCGGGCGAGGGGCGAAAGAGAAAAGGCCCTAGAGAGAGAAGCAAGGGCTGAAGAAAGAAATTCAGCCAAGGAAGAGGCTCGAGCCCGAGAAGATGCCGAGTTTCGATCGCTGGAGCTGAGAGTAAAGCTCGGAGAGGCCCAGATCAAACTACGAGAAGCCCAGAACGCGGCGACGCCTCCGCCAGCAGCAGGTGGAGGAACCGAGGGGGCCGGGCAAACTCTGGGAAAGAACCCCCAGCGCTGGTTGCCAGCATTCAACGAGGAGAAGGACGATCAGGACGCGTACCTCCTGAGATTTGAGAGGCTGGCCACGGGACAGCGATGGCCACGGGAGCAGTGGGCCACCGCACTTAGCGTCTGCCTCACCGGAGAGGCGCTCAGGGTGTTTTCGCGACTGACCCCGGAAGACTCGGCTGACTACGACAAAGTTAAAAAAGCGCTCCTTCAGAGGTTCCGCCTGACAGCCGAGGGCTTCCGGGAGAAGTTCAGGGACGGGAAGCCGGAAAAAGGGGAGACGGGCACCCAGTTTGCTGCCAGGTTGGCCAGTTTTCTCGATCGGTGGGTCGATCTGTCAGAGACGGCGAAGGATTTTGACGCCTTGAGAAACCTCTTGCTCACCGAGCAGTTTATTTGCGGAGCCCCCCCCCCCCCCCCCCCCCCCCCCCCAAAATTGTCTTTGTTCCTCCGGAAAAGGAAGAGTAAGGAACTGGGCGACATGGCAGAGCTGGCTGACCGGTACTTAGAGGCACAACAACAGGAGACTCACGGCAAGGGTGGTGGGGCTGACGAAGCGACACGGGCCAAGCAAGGTGCAAGGCCTTCGGGGAGCTCGCGCCCGCCCAGGAGATGCTTCCTATGTGATAAAACTGGACATCTGGCCGCTGACTGCAGGGCCGGCTTTTCCACCAAGAAGCCCATCGCGTGCCGACAATGCGGAAAGACCGGACACGCAGCAAGCCAGTGTTGGAGTAGGCCCCATGAGAAGAACAAGGTTTCCTGTCTCAGGGAGACCCCAGAGTCGCGAAATACAACCGCAAGTTGTGTTCAAGGGGGCTACGTGGAGCTCAAGGATGGGACAAAAGTACCTGTCCTGAACGCGGTGTCGGAGCCGGAGCCGCCGATGACGAATATGCCGGTCACAGCAGGGAAAATCCAAGGCAAGACAGTTAGCGTCCTAAGGGACACCGGCTGTAATACTGTGGTGGTGCGCAGAAGTTTGATCACTGAGGCCGATCTGATGGGAGAGTCGAGTCCCGTCTATCTAGTAGACGGCACTGTGCGAATCCTGCCTGAGGCAAGGGTGCACGTGGACACGCCCTTTTTCACGGGGGACCTAATCGCCAAGTGCATGGAGAACCCGCTTTATGATGTCATCCTCGGAAACATCCCGAACGTTCGCGCCCCGGGAGACCCTGATCAGAGTTGGAACCTGCCCAAGGCAGAGAATGCAGGAAACCCACCCAAGGGGAGCGGAGAGGAAGAGGAAGCATACCCCGTGACCGCAGCTGTGGAGACAAGGAGCAACAAGCAGAAGAAACAGACGAGTTCTCCCCTTCGGGTCCCGCTGATCGGCGGCGAACCTGAGAAGCCCGAGAAACTGGCGGAGGAGCAGAGGAAAGACAATACCCTGAGGAGCTGTTTTGAACGCATGGGGAAGGTCTGGAGATGGCGGAAAAGTGGCAACACGTAGGAGTACGTCATGCAGAGGGGGTTGCTTTTCCGCGTTTTCCGGACGCCGGGCGAGCGAGAATACCACCAGTTGGTCGTTCCCCGGGGCCTCCGGGACACTGTCCTGAGCATGGCTCACGACGGAATACTGGTGGGGCATCAAGGCGTGGAGAAAACAAGCCACCGCATCCTTGGGGAGTTCTACTGGCCGGGAGTTCAAGGCGATGTGAAGCGGTTCGTCAACTCGTGCGACCAATGTCAAAGGACAACTCCTAAGGGCAAGGTGTCGAGAGCGCCACTCGGAACGATGCCGACTATCGACAACCCCTTTTTGCTGGTGGCTGTCGATATCGTGGGACCCCTCGCACCGGCAACGACGAAGGGAAACAGATACATTCTGACAATGGTGGACTATGCAACCCGCTACCCGGACGCCGTGGCGCTTCCCGACATAACCACCGAACGGGTGGCGGAGGCCTTGGTAGAGATGTTTGCTCGGACCGGGGTCCCGAGAGAAATTCTCAGCGACCGCGGTGCGAATTTTTGTTCCGATCTCATGCGCGAAGTGAGTCGACTGCTGTCGATGCGCCAGCTGCACACGACGCCGTACCATCCGATGGCTAACGGGCTGGTGGAAAAATTCAATGGAACGTTGAAGATGATGCTCAAGCGGATGAGCCAGGAGAAACCAAATGATTGGGATAGGTACCTCGGCCCCCTTCTCTTCGCTTACCGGGAGGTGCCCCAGGCCAGCCTTGGCTTTTCTCCGTTCGAGTTGCTCTACGGACGACAGGTGCGGGGTCCCTTTTCTGTTCTGAGAGAATTGTGGACCAACGAGTCCCTAGAACCTGAGCTCCGGACAACATACCAGTACGTCTTCGAGCTTCGAAACCGTCTTGAGAATACTTGCCGAGTGGCCCACCAGGAGCTGGAAAGGTCGAGTGCCCGCTACAAGCAACACTACAACAAGAAAGCTCGCAACCGCACACTGCAGGTGGGGGATAAGGTCCTCATCCTGTTACCAACGGATCACAACAAACTGCTGATGCAGTGGAAAGGACCTTACCATGTTGTTGCAAGGAAGGGGGACCTGGATTATGCCGTGAACTTGGGTCACGCTACAAAGCTGTTTCACTTGAACATGCTAAAGAAATATGAAGAACGGGAAGTCCAGACCAAACAACCGGAGGTGAGCCAGTGTGCGGTGGTCACCTTTGACAGGGAAGAGGAATGCGGTATGCCACTACTGAACCTCCAAAAGAAAGAAGACAGCCTCGACGTGGTGATCTCTGACGGACTGACAGCGGCGCAGAAAAGACAAGCCAAACGGCTAATTGCTGAGTTCGACACTGTGTTTTCGGACCTGCCTGGACGCACAGATTTGGCCGAATGCAGGTTGGAGCTGAAAACAACCGCGCCAATCAACGTCAGGCAATACCCGCTGCCTTTTGCCGTGCGTCAGACGATCAAGAAAGAAGTGGAAAGGATGACCGAAATGGGCATCATTCAGAGATCTAACTCGGCTTACAACTCCCCCGCACTCGTCGTGAAGAAGTCGGACGGCACGCACCGGCCGTGTGTCGACTTTCGAGGAGTAAACAACGTGCTGGTCTCCGACGCCGAGCCGATTCCCCGGGTCGACACACTCTTCGCTGATGTGGGGTCGAAAAGATATTTCACCAAACTGGATTTCTGCAAAAGATACTGGCAGGTCCCTCTGACCGAGGAGTCGAAAGACAAAACCGCTTTCTCCACTGAAACCGGGCTGTACCAGTTCCGCTTTATGCCCTTCGGCATCAAGACTGCCCCTGCGGTTTTCACGAAACTCATGCGAAGACTGTTAGACGAAGTGCCGGAAGTGACGTACTACTACGACGATGTTCTGATTGCCACCGAGACGTGGGAGGAACACCTGTCTGCGCTCCGGCGGGTGTTGGGGAGAATCAGGGACGCCGGACTGACGGTGAGGCCGACCAAATGCGAGGTGGGGCAGGAGGAGGTGGCCTTTCTGGGACACCAGGTGGGCAAAGGCCAAATGGCTCCACTGGAGGGACTTGTCGACAAGATCCTAACTGCAAAAAGGCCCGAGACCAAGCGGCAAGTTCGTTCGTTCCTGGGACTGGCCGGATACAACCGGGAATTTGTTCCCGGTTACGCCGAAGTTTCCGCCCCCCCTGACAGACCTAACTCGGAAGGGCGGCAGCAATCGGGTGGACTGGGAGGATAAGCACGAGAGGGCGTTCAACAAGCTGAAACAGATGCTAGCGCGTGCCCCTATACTCAAGTTACCCGACCTAGAAAAACCATTTATCTTGAGGACGGACGCCTCTGATCACAGCATTGGAGCGGTCTTGCTGCAGGAGGACGGTGGGGTGTTACACCCAGTAGCATACGCAGGCAGAAAGCTACTGCCGATAGAGACTGCCTACGCGACAGTTGAACGTGAGGGACTGGCGTTGGTATGGGCCATACAGAAATTCCACACCTACCTATATGGCAGACCGTTCGTGCTTCAGACGGATCATCAACCCCTTCTGTATATTAATCGTACACGTCATGCCAACGCTCGCGTTATGCGCTGGAGTCTCCAGCTGCAAGAGTACGACTTTCGCGTGCAACACATTAAAGGCAGCGAAAATGTGGGAGCAGATTACCTGAGTCGGCTTTAGGCGCCCAGGCTGATATGCACCTCGGGAAGAAGCCTGCCAAACTATCGAGTATATGTATTACAACGTTTTGTCCCGTTTCGCAATATTTTTTTTTTTTTCTTTCTTGTAAGTGTTAAACAAGTATTAGTTCTGTGTGCATAGTATTTATCACCGGCAAACTTTGTGCTACAAAATATGTGCCACGATTTTTTTGGGGGGGGGGGGGGGGGGGGAGAGCCTCGCAGAGTGCTGTGTTACTCTTGGCTGTAAGTGTTTCTTTTACTGTAGAGTGCAGAGATACCGTTTCATTTAGTAGAGCTACTAGTTCCGTAGCATACGTGGTGTGGGCCGTTTTCTTGTGCTGTTTCCTATATTCACGAGTGAATATTTTTAAGTGGGGGGTTGTGTCACAGAAACCGGCTGTTCCAGAAACCGACGGGGGTCGTGATGACGTCTGCGGAAGAATAATGGCCAGGGAAGTAAACGACCGCCTTCGGCCGATGAGCTCGCGGCCAGGCGCGTGTCAGGTTACGCAGGGAGCGCTTCGTTGAAGCGACCGCATGTTCGGTGTTTCTTGGTATACACAACCTAGAGTGGTTTTGGGGGGTACACAGGTTTCTGCAGCCCCAGATTTACGAGGCGAGCTGGCGGCTCGCTGTTTGAATGTGTTTTTCGTCAGCGCTCGAATTGCCTGGTGGGTCTTAGTGTTGAGAAGAACCCTGCTTTAGGGTCAGGGGTCAGACCGAGGGGGCAACAACCTACCGTGGGAACAAAGAGAGTGCGGGAACCGCGGGGTCGCCAGGACTGACAGTGCGAGAGAGAACTCTAAGGCAGACGGACGCATCGCGACGTCGAGGGATGCGGCGAGACCCTGTCGACGGCCCCACGCCAGGCACCGGACGAAGCTTCCGGTGAGTGTGCGACCGCAAAAAGTGGGCGTGCGGGGCCAGTGAGGCGCGCCCACGGTGTGCCAAGCCACCCGTCGGAATTTCTCCACCTCGGACGGACCGCGCAGGGAGACGCCAGCACCTCTGCGCCAGATGAGACTTTTTTACTTTGCACTCACCTATTCTATTTTAATTTACCATTTGGACTCTCTTAAACTTAGTATTTTTCTAGTGCTGTCTAGGCAACCCGAAGCATGAAATTGTAAACCGTTATACTGTGTGTACCTGTGCTATCTGCCGTTTGATGTCTACGTGATTTTTGCATATTATATAGCGCCAAATTATCTACACTACCCCTGTCAAATTAAACGTCATTTATATATCCGACACACGCCTCCGTCTCTCTTCATTGGTAAGACTCTCCACCAGAGCGTGGCCCTATCGCTCGGTCAGCGGTCCCCTTCTTTCACATCGTCACTCGGGAGGCCTACCGCCTTCCTGTGACATATTGTTTATTATTTTTTATATAAAGACGTCGGTAGAATTACTACAGGTTTCTCGAACGAGCTTTGAATCTTTGAAGATCTGCATATTCTGAGTTTTGGGAGGAAAGACAACGGCAAAAATGGTCCCCTTTGCGTTGCCCTTTAGCACGCGATTCTTCGAGTGCCGCACAAACTACGGGAGCACCAGATGAGCTTCAGAGCGAGTGCAGCATTTTGTTGCCTCCTTTGAGTGAGGATGCAGTTTGTGCACCTCCTTTAGTGGGCGAGAGTTTCTACGTTGGGGAAAAGCGAGGACCAGCCCTTTCTTAAAATGGGTCAAGAGTCCTTGAGCTTCGGGACACAAAGAAACGCAAGTCTTCGGTGCTAATCCCGCAGTTACTTGGCCTCTCTTGCGTCGCGTCTGTTCGCTCCCCGCGCCTTGTAGCAGCGTTGTTGCGGTGGAGGGGGGGGGGGGGGGGGGGTTTGTGACAATTTTTGAGGGGTTTTTGACTCTCCAAAATCATCTTCTTGCCCCCTCCCTTTCCTACGCCACATACTTACCCGTCTTTGCAAATATCAGCTGATCTTTCAACATCTTATCTCCTTTGTGCAGGAATCTTTGTTGATAGACAAAACAGCTACTGAAATTCGAAAGTAATCTGTAACTTGAGTGGAAGTTACTAAAAATTTTCATTTACACTTTCGTGTAAATGAAAAAAAAAAAAAAAAGACAGAAATAGTCAGAACTCATCTTTTTATGTCTTTGGATCGCCAAATACATCAATTATCGTAGCGACTCTAATAGACCTTTGGCCAAATCACCCAAGCATGAAAAAGAATACCGGGAACCTATTCTAGGTAGACGTGCTGCGCGTGCTGGAGTTTTCAGCTTTAACTGTTCGAAAGCAACAATCTAAAACAAATGTCACTTCGCACGCGCGTTCCACTGACGATTCATTTTGGTTATTCACTTCGATTCTTCTTATGGAGAAGTCGAGTATT